TGGGGCTTTTCTGGAAGGGGGGATCTGGCAGACAGTACCTCCGAAGGCTATCCCCACTGGAGGTCCCCCCTTAGAGGGCTGGCTGCCACTCCTTCCCCACAAACCCAGCCTCTCTGCTCCTGGACAATGGGGCACTCCAAAGGACAGGCCAGGAGCCTGAAGCCTAGAGGTGAAGGCACCTGGTGACTCACCCAATCTGAACCAGAGGAGAGGGCCCCACACTGCCCAGGGTACCCTGGGGAGGGAACAGGTAGGCCACCAGGAATGTGCTCCCAGGTACACATGGAGGACATCCAAGGCATGCCCCTGCTAAGGCTGGCTGCATCTAGAGCAGCAAGTCTGGGGTCCTTCTCCCCACTTGGCAGGGACCCCACGGAAGAGTTGGGACACTGGTTTGAGGCCCAGACCCTGGACAGCCTCAACTAGCACCCTTCAGCTCTAGGGAAATAGGGCAAGGCCAGGGCATCAGTGCAGTTGGCACCACACAGCCAGCTCCAGGGGAAGGAAAGAGGGCCCCGGCCAGACCTGGGACCACCACAAAACCCACTGCATCATTACACTGGCTGCCAGACCACCCTGGCATCATTACACTGGCTGCCGGGCCACCCTGGCATCATTATACTGGCGGCCGGACCACCCTGGCATCATTACACTGGCTGCTGGACCACCCTGGCATCATTACACTGGCAGCCGGACCACCCTGCTCCCCAAATCTGGATCCCGGGTCCAGGCTGCCCTTGACCCACTGCCTGGGGCTTCGCAGCCTGGATCCTAACGACAGGCTATGCTTCAAAATATGCAAAATACCTAACCGCATAAAAACTCACAGAAAGAACCAGAGGGGTGGGCCACAAGGGCAGACAGGCACCCTGGGGTGGGTGAACAGTATCCTTTTCTCCTTCCAACGTGTCCGTCCTCCCAGTCCGTGACAGCACGAATCACTTCAGTGAGCCCAATAAAGAAAGCTTCAAAAGAGAGTGGCCCCACTCTTTCTGGTCCGGGTGCATCTCCGATTCCCCAAACCCGTGGGACACATGAGTTTTCTTTCCAATGGGTGATTCTGGGGTCACCTCCTCCTCTGTGCAGGCTCCCAGGAGCGCCCGCCCCAACAGTGACCTAGCAACTCCAAGCACCTTCTGATGTTCCGAGTGAAGACGGGGGAAAGCACATCCTAGTCAGGGGACTGAGGCTGCACTCCTACAGGCAGTCAGGACATGGGCAAGACGAGCGGGGTGCCAGCTGGAC